TCTTTGCGTGCATTTGAATGTGAGTGGTTAGCATGGCATTGGCGCTTATATACTTCAAAGACCAACACAATCTTCAAGTAATTTTTTTTTCATTTCAAATACAAATATTAATAATGATAATAAACATTCCATTGATATGCCAAAACCTAATTAATAGCAAAACAAGTACCTGAAAGTCTGCAATCGTGAGAACCATTGGCAAAATAGTTGGCTGCATAACCAAATTCATCAGTTCTGCACAAAGACGCGGAAGTACCTGCATTTAGAAAATTTTATGAATTGACTTGATTCTGTCTGCAAGATGCAAGAAATAATAAAACTGAACCACTATATCAACTCCTCTAGCTCACTGAACTACAAATACCAGCGAAGTAAAAGTGCAACGAACGAAACTTAAAAATCTTGAGGAATATCAAATGCATCACAGAATGAGAGAGAAAGAGCCAGGGAGGAGAATTCACACATGAAGATCACTTTATAAAGTCTGTTTTCTAATATTTGCTTATTTAATTTCCCAAATATGTTTAGAACAACAGTTAGAGAGGGAAGATAAAATCTTAAACCTTATATCGAAACACACGGGAGTCAAAATCTTTCCACATATCAGATAAAGCTTTTAAAAACTGACTTTTGTCTGCTATCTATTTCCTGCCAAAAAATGTCACCCAAGAATTAAGCATTTTACAGCACTTATTTTAAGCAAATTATTTTCAAATGATTGTGTTTACTAACATATGTCAGACGAGCGAAAATTAAAATGCATACAAGAATGTGATAGAAAATGAAGAGCACGCAACCTAGTATCATCTCGGAAAAATGGAGAACCTGCAAATACATTACATTAAATTCAAAATCATTAAACTAATCCAAAGTGTAGAGTTTCAACGTCAGTTTCGTAATAACTATGTGGAACTGACAGGATACTTCAAAGTTATTTGCTTTAATTTAACAACATATCATCCAAGTTAACCATCTCTACTAAATAGCTAGATGTCTAGAGAGGGAGAGAGAGAGAGAGAGAGAGGGAGCAAAAGGCCATCTAAGATTTGAAAAAATTATGCATAATGCAACAATATAATGCATGAGGGCTACAAGATACACAAATTGAAAATATTTTCCTTTTCTGTTTTTCTGACATATGAAAGTGCAAGATCAAAATTCTGAAATGCTCCAAGTATTACCAGTAAAATCAAGTGCTGATGGCCTGATAGATTCATTTGCAGAGACCATCCTCTGTAAATCATGAATTAGTTCTGGTGGAATAGAGGAGAAGGATTCATTGGATAAGTATGTCAATGTTTTCATATACTGCAGAGAAGAAACAAAATAATCAACCACTGGTACTACTATAAAACAATTTAGAAAAGTGTAAAGCAGTGACGAGGAAATATGTTAACGCTAACTATATTATTACTATGGACAAAAATAGGAGAAGACAAATAAAGAGAGAAAAATGAATGACATAGGGCTAGTAACTGACTAGCTGCAAAGTGCAAAGGGATATACTTTCAACATGTTTATTTGAAGTTGTTGAATTACAATGTCTTTAAAACAATCTTTGACACACATACATCTCTAATTTTCATGAGAGAACAAATGGACAACATGTTTGAAACATTGCCAACATCTGAAAGTGGGGAGCACATATATATATGAGTGGCTAATAATGCAAAAACAACAATAAATATGATATGTATGATCATATGCAAAATTTATAACATCATATTAAGACATTAAACGGAAGACATTTATATCACAGTGCTAAGGCTAACCTAAGAAAAGAAGTCAAATAAGCAAATTATCAATAGTGTAGTAAACTATGTTCATGAGTTGAGCATTAAAAGTACAGATGTGCTAGACATGTAAATTCAAGGTTTTCCTTATATATAAACAGCCAAACATCCATGCACACATCTACCGGAAGAGCTAAAGAAAATGGGCTTTTCATACTTCTACCGTGTTTCATATTTTGATTTCAGTAGGGTCAAGTACAATGATTTCAAGTTATATGAAAAATGTTCTCATTTTTCTTTTGAGTACAAGGAGTAGCATTTATTCCCAAACTCCATCCCCGCCATTACTACTTGAGCTAAACCCATAAAATATCAAAAGTTTTACTTATAGCATAATGAAAGGTAGGTACACTCGAAGCCTGATCTTTTGAGATAGAAAAACCAAACCCACCAAGCTTCCAAGCTCCATGTGATGTAATCAAGACATTCTGCATAGTGCAAAGTAGTATTTAGACAAACATATACAACAGTTATGTTCCCTACCCACCACAATCTATCCAGAAGCCTAAAAGGGAACACTTTATAAATTCTTATCTACAATCAAAATTTTATTAAAAGAAGTAATAAAAAATGACACAAGGAGTTGTAGGCCTAACATGCTAAAAAATAGATGAAATGTTTTGGAAGAAAAAAGGAACAAGAGGATAGCTCATAAACCACCAGTAGTTATTTACAACAGCAAATCAAAATTAATTTGTGGAAAAGGGAAACAAAGATTCTGAAGCATTACAAACAGCCATATTAGTAGTAATCAGGAAAAATTACAAAACAAAACATTAAAAAGTTAGAGAAGTAACCTCGAGTGATATAGTGCAATGAATAAGATGTGCATTGTAATGAAGAAAATCCAAGGTTTCTGCAATCTGAAGCAAACCATGCTTCACCTCCAACAAACCCATTTCCTGTGAACTATATATTCTTTAAGTTTTCTATAATCATAAAAGATATAACGGTGAAACCTCCAAAGTCATCATCTCGTCCGGTGCCTCCTCTTTCATCGTGATCTATTTCCTCTCGCAGGATACAATTTCCCTCCAAACCTCGTCGACACTTCTCGTAACATAATTTTTACAATCCTCTACAGCTTGAACCTGAGAAGCTTCGGAATTATCCGCAACGGCATTCAGAACCGAAGCGTCGGTTACCGTGATCGAAGCGTCAACCAGAGTCGTCTCAGTCGTGGGAGCGGCCAAGTAAACGACAAAGAAGCAGCATATGAGTTTGGGTAAACGACGGGAATGGAAAAATAGGTGAAGGGGAAAAATTAAAAAGGGTTAAAGGAGAGCGGGACTTAGAAATTGTAAACAATAAAGTACGAGTCTTTAGCGACGTTTGTATAAAAAAATACCACTAAAGTACGAGTCTATAGCGACGTTTGTATAAAAACCCATTAAAGTATGAGTCTATAGCGGTGTTTTTATCGCCACTAAAGGTCGAGTCTATATCGACATTTGTATAAAAAAGCCACTAAAGTATTAGTCTGTAGTGACGCTTTTATAAAACGCCATTAAAAGTCGAGTCTGTAGCGGCGTTTGTATAAAAACGCCACTAAAATACAAGTAATTAGCGGTGTTTTTGCCTAAAACGCCGTGAAATTTGTTATTTTGTGGCGTTTGTTCTAAAAACGTTGCTATAACAATAAATTTACCGGCATTTTTTTCAAAAAAACGCCGCTATAAACTCATTTTGTTGTAGTGAAGTTTCTATATTTATAATTTATTATGTATATATATATATATATATATATATATATAATAAAATTTGTATACAAATAACTTAATATATATATTTTTTATTATTTATTTCTTTGAAAATATAGAAATATACTTTCACCAATAAAATTATATGTTTATTATTAGGTACTAAGATATTGGGAGATGTACATACTTACACTAGTGCAAATATGTATTAAATGTTACACTTTTTTATTTTATTTACTTACACCGGTATAAGTATGTGTTAAGTGATACATTGTTTTTATTTTATTCACTTACACTAGTGTAGTATGTGTTAAGTGTTGCACTTGTTTATTCTATTCACTTACATCGGTGTAAGTATAGGTTAAGTGCTACATTTTTTTGTAGTATTGATTATGAAAAAAATTGTAATATGGTTAACCTGTAACGAACTGTTAATAACGGTTAACCATTTCTTAATGATTAGGTTACGATTAGAAAAATCTCATAACTGTTATAACGGTTAATCGACCGTTTAGGTTAAACAGTACAGTTAACCGTCCATGAAGATCCCTAGTTTTAGCCATTGGTTGAAATAGTAAAGGATGATGTTGGATGTAATGGTGAAGAAAGATTTATTTTAAGTTAAATGTAAAAAACTCATTAAGGAATTCTGGATGAGATCACTAAAGTATTTAGGATATAATTAAATTAAAAGAATTAATCTAATCACCTAATTAATTCTAAAAATTTACACAAAATTTTCATATTAAAAATATTTTTGAAATATATAGTCAAAATTTTAAAATCTAGAATTTAAGATTTAAGATTAAAATTCTAAGTAAAAGTGACCACTTGATTTGAATATGATTCCTGTTCAACCCTATTTTATAAGATTTTTTTTTCCTTCTTCTACAATTCAGATTTGAGTTAATCAAATCCCATTTTGTAAGATATGAAAGCGAGTATGATCAAATTCGAGTTCAAAATGAAAAACATATAATAATTTGATATGAGATGATAATATAATTTTCCTCTATATATATTTAAAAGTTATTATCATTATGCTCTTACATGTGTATATTAAATAGGGATAGGCATGGGTCGGGTTTTTTGTCCACCCGACCCGAGAACAAGAAATTCTCCATCCGAGATCCGACCCGACCAAAACAAGAATCCACTCGACCCGAACCCGATATATAACTTAAAAACCCAATCCGACCCTAAATAATTAAAAAAAATATTCAATAAAAACATTAACTTAATTGAAAAAATAATATATAGAGGGGTATTATTGTAATTAATTCAAATTGAATTAAATGTGAGATTTTACCCTAAATTGGAATCAAGTTTCGAAGAAACTTCTGTAAACTTGAATTGAATGAGTAAATGATATAATCTTCAGATCAAATTCAAATAAATTAAAAATATAATATAATCCGATATATCATCACCTTTAGTTATAAGCTTTTCAAAATTTAAAATTAATTATTAAATTTCAGATTAAAATAAACAATTTATATAAACTCGATTAAAAAATAATAACAAAAACATATACTAATTTTTAGATCAAAACAAAAGGATGTGGATCTAATACAAGTATATAGTTTTACATACAAAACAAAAGCAATAGAATGAATCTGCGAGTAATTTAAATTAAATCAATTAAAGAAAAGCAAAAGGAATATAAACAAAAAGAGCGAAACGCGAGGACTAGTTCTTCTGGGTAGTTTTACGATACTTGTCTTTGATCCATTGAATCCCCAAAGAGGTTCCTTGTTTGACCTTCTTCATCCCGGTTGAAGCCACCGATTTGGTCTTCTCAAGCCCATCCCCAACCTTCTGCTTGTACTTGGCGGTTGCGCCACCGCCGCCGCTCTTCTTTTTGTCAGTAGCACCGGTGGGAGCCGCCGCGTTGCTGGTGCCCCACTGATCCGCCCATGGTGAACCGTGGCCGACGGAATTGTCTCTTTCCATCACCGGAATCTTAAGAAATAAGATCAGATTACCAGAGTTTGGCAATGCTAAGAGAAAGCTTGAACTTAGGCGTATGAATTCTCAACGCGCCGCGTGATATTTTATAGGCGTTTCATTACATCATCGAGAAAACTTAGCCGTGTTGATTTAATTGAAATGACGAAAATAACCTTTTTCATTTTTATTTAAAGAATATGTTCTGCATGTCGAAGTAACGCAGAATTCTCCTTTATATTTAAATAATTAATTGATTATATATAATTAATTAATATTGATTTATAAAAAACGATTATTATCATTGTATTAATACTAATTCTATTTTTTTGAACTATTAAATACTAATTCTTAAATTAGTGGAAAAAAATAATATTTTGATTATGACTCGAAATTTTGTATTCAAACTAAAAAGTGTTGTTGTAAAAGTTAATTATAATTACTCTACTAAAACAAGTTGAGTAGGATAGGATAAGGATTATTTGATGGTATGATTCAACTAAAAATATCATTCGAGAGTATATATAATTATTATTTGAGATATATTCATACTATTTTATTAATTTTATTAGTAGTTTTGATTTATATTCATGTATTCTTAGTTACTTATTTATATATTAATAATTAAAATATATGATTTAAATTAAAACGGTTTAATGATCTACACGATCGTTTGAATAAAATTTAAGAAATTTTAATGTATTTTACTCAAATCTGAAATTATATTTTTAATTTAACTTATTTAAAAAGTAAAATTATATCTATTTTAACCTCTTCTATATAAAAAGTATATTATCTGATTTTTTTGATAAATTATTACTTATTTTTTTCTTAACTTTATATTAACTTTTTCCCCTATTATCTTAGTTTTTTCCCATGTAATTTATTGAAAATAAATTATAATTGTTGTGATATATTAGGTAAATAATTGAATTAATAATAAAATATTGAAAAATTGGAAAGAGGAAAAGAGATGGCAAATTTAGAAAACTATTGGACGTGGAAAAATAAATTAAAAATATATAATTGTTTGAAAAGTATATAATGATATATGACATCTGGCATGACAAGTTTTATAAAATATAATTTTTTTTTGAAACTATTCATTAGGACATGGTGAGTTTTGTAGATGATTTTTTTATAAAAATATATATTTTTATTAAAACTTATAATATTTTAACAATAAGTTTTAATAAAATATTATATTTTATGAAGCTCGTACAATTGTAACGAATTCCTAATCAATTGTAATAAACGTACTAACTTTAGGGATGTGCATGGGTCGGGTTTTTGCTCCACCCAACCCGACCCGAGAACAAAGAATCCTCCACCTGAGATCCGACTAACACAAGATTTCATCCGATCCGAACCCGACCCGAACCCGAAATAATAAAAAAATATTATTTGTATTCAATAAAAACAGTGACTTGATTGAAAAAAATAATATATAGAGGGTTATTATTGTAATTATTCTTAAATATAAGGTAAAATTATATTATTTTTTCGGATTGGATATTTTTCATCCTACATCTGAACCCGACCCGAACATCACATTTAAAAAACCTGATCTGATCCTACCCGAACCTGATTTTTTAAAAAAAAATATGACTCGATCGGATCGAATCATATCCCATCGGGATTCGGGTCCCATACCATCCCTAACTAACTCTCTAAATATTTTTTTACCAAATTTTTAAAGTCAATATTATTACCTAAAGGGTAGTGTAGTCAAACCGATAGTTATAGATTTGAATTAATTAAAGAAATAAATGAACCGCGTATTTTTATTGAGCTTCTGGAAATATCTAGAAACCAATGCGTGGAGGGTATTTGACCTAATCTCTGAGTCACGAACCACGTCCTCTCCTGGACGCTTCACCAATGGACATTAGGGCTGTGTAAAAAGATCTGACTAGATCGATACAATCTGTTAATATGATCATTCGATTTTAAAATTTATATATTCAATTTATTTTTTATTTTTAGATAATTCGAATTAGATATTTAAAGTTTTCAAATAATTGGATTTGATAAATTTCAATTTTAGATTACTCGAAAATACAAAAAAATTGGGTCTTTAGATTTTAGATACTTTTAAGCCAATAAACGAGTAACTTATTAACACATTAAAATTCTAACCCAATAAAGATTAGGATATTTAATTATTTATTGTGTGTGAGTAATTAAATATATAAAAAAAAATTAGTAGAAGCATCAACTATGTTACATTAAATCACAAAATTTAAAATTTAAAAAGATTTTAAATTGCACATCCTCAGAGGGTGTTTGGTTCGCGGAAAAGAATATTACTATGTAATAATCTTTTCTCAATTGTATCATTTTTTTAAATGGTAGGAATGTCTTTACATCCAAATTCTTAGATTTTAGATAATTCCCACGACTTTAGACAATAATACCCATAGACTAATGAGTTCTTTTTATAATGGTCATGTTGCAACCGTCTTTCGGTTGGGCCCCGAAATTGGGCTTCGACTTAGGAAAATATAGATTGGAGTCGCCACCGACCACTTTAAAGCGAATTTAGGTGGGTCGGACACCATTTTACCTGATCTGCGTTGTACTAGAAACGTGTCAAGCTCGGGAGTCGGTTACGGTCAATGAAGGATTAACACCCTTGAACCGCCCTTTCGGTACCACATAATTTTCAATTGTCTTAAATTAAGAAAATTGTAATTTTAAATAAAAAGGTAAAATTTGATCCTGATTACTTACCTTAAATTGATTTGAAAATATCCTTAAAAAATCGAGAAATGTGTTAGATAAACAAGGTAAAGAAAATAAATAAGATAAATAGAATAAAATAAAAGGAAAAAATAAAATAAATAAAATAAATAAATAAGATAAGGAAAAAAAATAGTAAAATAATAATTATATATAATAATATTTGAAAAAGGAAAAAATATATATATACATCAAAGTATTAATAAAATAAATAAGCTACATATATATACAACAAATATTTAAAAATTTAAAAGCTACCATCTCACTTCACTGAAAGTGGGGGGCTTTAGTCAAAAATAAGATAAAAAGAGGAAAGTGGAAGAGACTTTAGTTAGAAATAAAACAAAAAAAAAATTGACCCTCTAAGTTAGTAGTATATAATATAATGTTTAATAATAATAATGATAAAGACACAAGATTTAAAAAATAATAATATAATAATGAATAAAAAAACAAAAATAATAAAAAAATAATATATATATATATATATATATATATATAAAGTTATAAGATATATTACGTAAATAAAGAAATAATCAAATAAAAATAATTAAGAATATATATATATATTAATAATATGTATATAAATAAACTATTAAAAGTATAAAAAAATATATATAACTAGATAAAGATAATTACAATATATATAGTAATAATAGACTTATAAGTAAAATATTAAAGATATATATATATATATATATATATATATATATAATAAAATATAGTAAAAAAATCAAATGAAAATAATTTAAAAAATATATATATATATATATATATACACGTATAATAATAACATGAATAATAAAAATAAATGAATAAAATATCTATATAATAAATAAAGGGACTAATATAGATTTTTAAAAAGCTCTTCCCATCATTTAACCGAAAATCAAACCGGTTTTTCAAAATAAGCCTCGGGGAAGCGTAGATCTAAGAGAAAATATCTCGGTTCCCTTGTGTTCATCGGCCCTTTCAAAGTAAAAACGGAAAAGAAGAAATGAAACAAGCCACATGCAAGCGAGAATCGAAGCAATATAAGTAAAAATACCTCTTTTATTTCTCTGTTGAAAATTACAAGCGAATCTTTGGGGCTTATTGCATATTTGCTTTGGGTATTTTTTGTGTGTGGGTAATCCCGTATGATAATCGTGTCCCATGGTGTGGTAATTACAAGGCTTATTTATAGTACTAAAAAACCCTATTTTAGACTAGTATTTGAGTCCTAATCCAACTCTATTTTAGACTAGTATTTGAGTCCTAATCCAACTCTTCTTTTTTGGTTACATGAAGACTCCTCGGTTGGCAGGAAAAAATCTGGTGTCTTCAGCTGCCCCTCTTTGCTCATTATCGTGTAACGAAAATGGAGCAAAGATTACAAGACACAAATTTTGTCCATATCGAATATCCTCTGTCGTAGAGTTGAAATCATTGTGAGGTTGAGTCAAAATTGGAAAATTCTGAGCATGAAATCCTTCGACGTGAAGTTGAAAATAAGCTCAAAGCTTTTGACAAGTGGCCTCTAAATCATCTTCTGGCTCAAGATACTTCGTCGTGAAGGTGGAACTTGACCTGAAGACTTTGGTGTTGTGATGTTACAGATGACCCCTTCATCGTGAAGTTGGGTCAATCCGTTGGGGTATGATACCCTTCCTTGTGAAGTTGTATATGTATATGGCCCCTTCGTCGTGAAGTTGAGCATGAGAATTAGATATCCTTCGTCGTGAAGTTGAAATCCAAGTAGGTTGTATTGTTCCGAGTCCAATATCCTCCGCCGTGAAGTTGAAATTGGCTTTGGAACTGGAAAATTGTTTGTTGACAGCCAACCGCCCCTTCGCTGTGAAGTTGAGCTTGTGCTGTCTTGAGTCTAATATCCTTCGATGTGAAGTTGAAATTGACCCTGAAATTGGGAAATTGTTTGTTGACAACCAGTCATCCCTTCGTTGTGAAGTTGAACTTGTGTCGTCTCGAGTCCAATATCCTTCGCTGTGAAGTTGAAATTGGCTCTGAAATTGGGAAATTATTTGTTGACAACTAGCCGTCCCTTCGTTGTGAAGTTGAACTTGTGGTCTCGAGTCCAATATCCTTCGATGTGAAGTAGAAATTGACTCTAAAATTGGGAAATTGTTTGATAAGCAGCCGTCCCTTCGTTGTGAAGTTGAACTTGTGTCATCTCAAGTCCAATATCCTTTGCTATTGGCTCTGAAATTGGGAGATTGTTTGTTGACAACCAGCCGTCCCTTCGTTGTGAAGTTGAACTTGTGTTGTCTTGAGTCTAATATCCTTTGCTGTGAAGTTGAAATTGACTCTGAAATTGGGAAATTGTTTGT